AACAAAAGAGCTCAATTATATATAGAAATCTTTTATTACTTCATGATCAATAGAATTCAAATTAGTAGATTCTTGTGGCCTATATGCCCTTAATTTAATCTGTTGATTAAATTGATAATTATAAACATGTATTGGGTTACTTTCTGCAAATGTGTAATATTGAATAGCAAGCAGAAACAGGCATATATGTCAGTCCCCAAGTCAGTGAACTACCTATTCAGCAAAGAACATGTGCATGCCATTGGTATTTGATTGGTCATCCACCTACAAATAGTGTGTAAAATTAGGTAATTCAATATTTGTGAGAAAAAGAGTTTTCTCTTCTTATGTTCTTATTTTTCTCTTTTCCTTTTTTCCTCTTATCAAAGTGTATTTTTTTAACACCGTATAGATGAATTTTCAAGGTATAGTTTTGGATTTTATCTTGTAGGTTATGTGAAAGCCCTGATGAGAGTTGTCGTAGAACTGGTGGAAAACAGGGAGCAGCTCAGAGACAACATGGAGGAGCTACAGCCTCAACCAGCACGGAGTGCCTCTCATCATCACCCCGACAATGGAGAAGCCGTGCAAGCTTTTGAACAACATCATCGCTTTGGCGATAGAAACTAGTTCTTTTGGTGATAGAAACTATGATGAATGTGTCAGCTACCTGAACATTAACCACTGATTGTTTTATTTCAGTACAATACATGTTTTTCATAGACCCTAAATTATGTTTATGCCAGTATAATTATGGAGAGTAACATGGAAGTACTCTATGCAAGTGAGTAGTGGATTCTGATTCTATGTGAGTGTAAAGCACTAGAAACTTGTCTGTAAGCTTGTACATACTTACACAAGCCAAAGTCCATGGTACACATCAATAGTCAATGGTTTTAATAGGTAAAATACTTATTAAATTTGTAAAACTTACATTTTTAGTTCAATTAAAAACGATTTCTGAAGCATATGCACTAGATTTTCATAAACACTAAGTAAATCACTGTTGATCATGAATTTGGCACCAAATATAATCTGATTTTTCTCACAGTCCTTCATCTTGGCCAATGCTTTTTGCTTCTTATTTGCAAAAAATAAAAAATAAAAAAATGCATTTTTTTTTTCTCATCTAAACTGTTCTTATTCAAGAACCATTTGATGTATTGCACCAGATATGACTTTATTTTTTGTTTTTGATTTTTTCCCTTTTCTGCCGAGGTGAATTGTGTTATTCATTTTCAAAGTTAGTAGTTTTAAAGATCATGCCATATTATCACAGAAGAGGAAACATTGTGATGATACTTCATCGCATCCATACTTTTTTTCCTAACAGCGGTTTCCTGTTTGTCCTAAAACCTGGTTATAAAAGATTGAAAAATAATCATCCTTGCAGATATAATAAAAATAGTCATCTATCCTGTAAACTTTACATAAAATAAGGATGAATGTAATGTACATGTTGCATCAAAGTTTTTGTTCCAATGGTGCATCATTTTGAAATATATTGCACAAACAGAGAAGAAAATGATTGGGGGGAAAAACCGTCAATGGGATGTTCTGAGAATATTTTGAGCAAAGGTAAACAAAAATTCATCTAAAGGAACACAAATCTTGTTTGTTTATTTCTATTATAGGTGTCTTGTAGGAAGCTTCATAATTTAAAGATGGAAATTGCTGTGAAAATGAGAGTGAGATAGAGAATGTGAAGGAAGAAGAGGGATAAAGATAGATACCAATAGGGATAGAGTGAGAGATGTGAATGTGATGGATGGAAGAGGAGAAAGAGAGATTGTGAAAGAGTGAGAGATGGGAATGTGATGGATGGAAGAGGAGAAAGAGAGATTGTGAAAGAGTGAGAGATGGGAATGTGGAGGGTGGAGGAGGAAAAGAGAGGCAGAGGGAGAGAGTGAGAGATGGGAATGTGGAGGAAGAGGAGAAGGAGGGACAGAGTGAGAGATGGGAATGTGGAGGGTGGAAGAGGAGAAGGAGGGACAGAGTGAGAGATAGGAATGTGGAGGAGGAGAAAGAGAGGAGGGACAGAGTGAGAGATGGAAATATGGAAGAGGAAACAGAGAGAGGAAGTGGGATAGACAGATGGGAATGTGGAGGGTGGAAGAGGAGAAAGAGAGAGGAAGAGGGACAGAGTGGGAGATAGGGTTAAGGTTTATCCTTTTTGGGAGGATAGATTTGATGCAAAATAAAGGATTTCCTGGATTTATTACGATGCTTACCATTTATCACACATTTGAAATTTCGTCAACCGCAATTCCCTTCTCTTACTCTCATCATTCCTCTGTCTATCTTTGTTGTGTCCATGCTGTTATTTCTCTTTCTCTCAATTTCGTTTTCTCTTTCAATTTCATTTTCTCTTTCTCTCCCCTTTTCTACTTTCTTTTTCCCTCTCACAATGTTTATTCCTCATTGTTTCCAAGTTCTTCCCAAAAAATAATGATTATTATAAAAAAATAATAAATAAATATGAAGAGCTTGCATGCAAAAGCTGCTAAATCCACATTTACCAATCGTTGCTATGATTGGTTCATTTGTTCCAGCTTGGAACCTGTTGACCAATCAGGAGGCAGTACATATAAACAGCCATGTAAATAATCACTGTATACATTGTCACCTGCCTAGATTTGTCTGACTGGATAGTGTGTGTGTGTTAAGGCTGCGACGGGTAGTCGAATGCTCGAGTACCCGCACGGTTGACAACTACTCGGGTACGATTTCTTGTACCCAAATATTCGGCCGCAAAAAAAAAAAATGTCCAGGCCCACGCTTACCCGTGCCAGGGAGAGCGGCGTCCGCTGGCATGGTACCGTCGGTAAAAATGTTTCCCAACTCAAGCACTGTCAAACTCACCTTTCAGAAACTGGGACCAAATGTCCAGATTTCTGTTTGGACTTGGAGGAAAATGGATTATTCTGCCATCTTTGGTTTTTAAAACAGCATTGTTTACTGTTATTATTCTTATTAAATCGGCGCCTTCAACTGCAACTCAAAGTAAAGTTGCATGCGTTTTCAGCGAGGGACCTGAGAAACTGCCGAGTGGTATGGTAGTGTCAAAAAAAAAAAAAAAAAATCGAAATCCATGTTGAAAAAGATTTTCAAAATGGATTTCGATTTTGACCCATAATTTCCTAAAAAGGGACTATTAAACTGATTATTTCAGTCAAGTTGTTAAGTGGAACCGATGTATTATAGCCTAGGCCTAATTTACATGTGGATATGCACGAGGTAAAATGACATTTTGGGGGATTTTGGGGGCAAAACGCTACGACCTGAAATGGCCGTGGCGTTATCAAGGGAATGTGTATAGACGGTTTCCGTCTCTAAAGAGAGAGCCGACCCTACCCCAATAAGAGGCTAACGAACGAAAGAGACGGAAAATTCGGTCTAGCCTAGGCTAAGACCTAAATAGGCAGGCGATTCGATTAGCGTTTCCAGTTAATTAGATACTAGAGAGGGTCTAGACTCTAGATCTACCTCAGAACAATTGATAGAACTTGAAAGATGAGTCTTTTATTTGTTTTTAATGTAATTATCAAAGTCTACGTAATGCAGCAATAATGACTTGTCACGATAGCCAATTTAACCACATTATTTTATTAAAAACAGCAACAAAAAATTACATAGAGATTCTAGGTCTACTGTAGGCTAGGCCTAACATCTAAGTTACAGGCCATAACTGACTTGGATGTGCTATATCTAACTAGTAAACTAATTGTACGATTCACCCTCCCATGTATTTCTGATCAGACCTAAACAAAAAAGAAGTTGGAGACTATTGCCCTTTTAGGCTTTAGGTGCCAAAACATGGGTCGGTCAATCTTAAATCTTGAAGAAAAAAAAAAAATTAGTCTAAACTGTTTTTTTAAAAGCCGAACATAGATTTACAAGATTTTTGGGTTGGTCACAAAGGGCAATAGCCCCCCTACAACTTTTTCTTTTTAGGCCTCATATACGAATTTACTTGGTGGAAGATTGTTATTAATGACTTTTCTTTTCAATGATAGTCTCATAATATAAAAGAGACATTTTTCAAATCAGGCTCCCTCCCCACCCCTCTGAACAATAGTGTAGTGGGCAAATTCATGCATAAGCAGTTGGCAAGTCAACCAACTCTGATGATTTGCTTGTGCTGCCCCTCGACTACCCCCACCTACCCGACCCGCTCTATGTACGGACATACAGCACTCCCTTGACTGGACACCCGCTTCAGCTGGCCCTCGATCAACCACCCCCTCCACTGTGTATGAACATCATCTTTAGCTGCCCCGCCACCAGCCCCCCCCCCCCCCACCCAGATGCAAGTTCTATGAAAAGTCAATGACACAAACACATTGGGGCTAATGAAAAACTGTCTGATTTCATGTGCTAACAAATTGGAGTTCATGTTTACTACCTAGTTTTATGACCACCTTTTTTGACAGAGTATGGCTTCAGGACAAAGAAAGCGACCTGCCCGTATTCCACCGCACAAAGTGGCAAAGAATTGGTGTGTCTTGGGCAAAGACCAGAGTGGATTTACCAAGACATTTATCAAAGATGATATAGGTAAATTATAAAGAACAAATCCATACAATAATGATAATAATGTTAATAACAATAATTATACACAATAAAAATAAAAGTAATGATAATTACAATGATAATAATAATAGTAATAATAATAATAACTTAGAAAATAGTTACAATATTAATAATGATAATAATTTAATCAAAATAGTCATAGTAGTAATAGTGAATACGGTAGGCCTAGGGACTTGTGTCCCCCCCCCCCAAAAAAAAATAATAATAATACATTAATTAAATTAAATGAAATACAATAATAAACAAATAGGTAAAAGCGACAAATACCCTTTTCACATCTACCAAATATTGCTTAACCCCGGGAAATAGGTGGGGCTAAGGGGGCTCTTAGCCCCACCAATTCCTTCCTTAGCCCCACCAATTACCCGGGGTAATTTTAGCCGGCTTTCTGTTCACATTACGTTTTGCCAAAGTGGGCTAACCCCACAAATAGTACGGGACTATCTGGCCCTGCAAAATAGCAGGGTTAGCCGGGCAATTGCGGGGTTAGCCGGGCAATTGTGGTGCTAAGCTGCGTAGCGTGAATCCAAACCGGGCTAAGGAGAAGCGGGGCTAAGCAACAGCCAATCACAGACAGCGTGGTCGTGTGGTCGTGAATTTGCATTTATCGCGCGCTATGCATGCAGTTCACGTTACGCATGCATGCAGTTCACGTTACGCATGCATGCTCTCTGTATTGACGTTTAGTCTTTTACGAGGCAGAGGTCATTATGAAAAAATCTTTATTATAAAATTGATTTAAAAAAATAGTGAAAGAACATGTAGCTCATAATTTTTTATTGCATTTATCATTATCAGTCATATTTACGTAGGTAAATTTATCAAGTGAATTGGATGAAAAATGGGTAATTGATTTGTATCGGTAAAATAATAAAGGGAAAACGCTTTGCGCAAGGCTGGATAACACAACACGAGCGAGCTAAAATTATTACGTACCGTACTGTATATTGTTGGTCTTTTTACCACAAGCAAAGAGTTCGTTGACCGATATTGATTATAGTTCAATTGTTGCATTGATTGTCTCCTGATTTTAATTGTATTTACACCGGAATGACGGCTTTACCCATCAGAAGGACCAATTGGGAAGATGTTGAAATCAGGTTTTTCCTGAGTCTGTGGGCAGAGGGGGAGGTCCAGCAGCAGCTGGATGGCACGGTCAGGAACAAGAAAGTTTTCGACGATATGGCAAGGAAGATGGCAGACGCGGGGTATAACCGGTCACCAAATCAGCTCCGAGACAAGTTAAAAAAACTGAAGAAGGACTATAAAGATGCCAGATCAAATAATGCTACAAGTGGGGCTGCAAGACAACAGTGCCCATTTTATGACTTACTGCATCCAATCATGGGTAATCGACCTGCCATAGAGCCCCAGGTAAAAAGATAATTTGGTAGATACAAGTTACGTAACTGCACTGTAGATCTAGATCTACTAGATCTAACTTAGTCCAGATTAAGATTTATATTCAACTTTCAAAAAGAAGAAGGAGGGTCGACGGGAAGGAGGAGGAACTCTATACCATATTCATATACCATGTCTACCATTAGAAATCATGGCCTATTGCCTATTGGTTTTGGAGTTACTTTAATTGGCTCATTTCACAAATTATAAATATTGCCATTTAAATTCTAGATGATAGATCTAACGGGCGATCACGTCGAATAGGGGACCAGCCGGCAAACATACCCTACACTCCACCCTACACCCTAACCCTAGTCGGCGGCCTAACGCTTAAACCCTATCCCTTCTCGTGTTATTTTTGCCAGTCCCCTATTCGACGTGATTGCCAGTATATACAAATTACAATGTAGATCCCTGTAGCTTTGTTGGATCTTTAGATCTTAAACGTTAGATCTAAGTTGGATCAACATGTGATGTGACAGACTATATTATTATATAGACTATGATAAATTTTTGGCTTGATCTATAGTCAAGGGGCTATTAAAATATTAATTTTAAAGGTTTGGGGGCAAGATGCCCTTTGCCCCATGTATTTTTGGCTGATGAGCGCTTTTTTTTATAATGCACTTTCATATCAAGCCCGCATGCCCAGTTATTGCAAACAAATTTTGTCATGAAACATTACATACTCCCTTTTCAGGTGCTGGTTGACACAGCAGATGATAGAGCTGAAGGTGCGGACGTTCCTGCTCATGCCGATGGTGCAGACTTAAGTGGCAGACGAGTGGCAGTGTCATCGAGGATGTTTTGGAACTGGAAGGTGGTGCGCGTGCTGAAGACAATACTGTGATTGCTCCAAAAGCAGAAGACCAACCATCAACGTCTACTCCCAAGACCAATGTAGGTTATCTTCTGTTTGACATGTTTTCTATTAATATTTTCCCATAAATTTCAATTTTGGGGTAATCCATGACATGTTCAGTTTTTAAATAAAATTAAATTACCATAATTTGTTAGTGTTCATTTGTGGAATAATGAGCCTAATTTTTTTTTTTTGGGGGGGGGGAGTGGAAGGGGACTGTGCTTTGCAGATTATTTAAATGAGGCTTCAGCTGCTGACAACCACCAACAAACGGAAAGGTTATCGGAAACAGCCCGCCCCCCCCCCAAAAAAAAAAAAAAATACGATTTAACTACATGTAGTACAACAGGTATTATTGTAGTGCATTAATTTTTATCAGGAGAGGTTTATTAATAGCTAGAGAATGTATCATTTTTTTCTTTCAATGCAGGTAAAAGTAAGGGGAAGGAAGCGACAGGCTGAGGAGCCAGCAGAGATGGAGAAGACCCTGAAAATACTGACAGATCACCAGGACAATGCCAGGAGAGAGTATAGAGAATGGGAAGAGCGACGGGAAGAAGCGCAAGAGAGGAGAGAGGAGAGGAGACGCGAAGCAGAACGCGAGCATGAAATGAAGATGATGGAGGTCATGGCACGGATGTTCAATCAGAACGACCGCCGAGAAAATGACAACCGCAAAGAAAATAACAACCGCCAAGAAAATAACCGCCCAGAAAATAGCAACCGCCAAGAAAATAACAATCGTCAAGAAAATAACAACCGCCAAGAGAAGAACAACCACCAAGAAAAGGACAACCGCCACCGCCAAGAAAATAACTACCGCCAAGAAAATGTGATGTTCACTCAAGATGGTAGGTCTTTCATGAACATGTAGGTAAAACTGGTGTTCTCATATTAGTGTGTGAAGAAAAACATATCTTTCATTTTTATATGTAACTTAATACGCAACCACAAACATTTATTTTACATGTGTAAAGAAGTAATTATGTTCTTGCCACATAGCCATCTTATTTGTATCAGGTTTGTCTCAGGTTTTTTATGCCTCCGCCACTGAAGGTGGTGTCCCGGAGGCATCATGTTTTGGTGTTGTCCGTCCATCCGTCCCGCTTCCCCAAGAACCGCTGGAGATATGAACTACATTTTGTAACTTCAAACAGTAGGAAGATGGATCTGATTCGATTTTGGACCATGTATGCAAGGTCGAGTTCCGAAGTTCGAGGTATTTGCCAGGTTATCGGAAGATCACTGTATAGGAAGACAATATGATTAGATTTTTGGAGTAACGAGGTCAATGGTCATGGGTCACAAAAGCCAATCTGCTTTAATTAATGGTTCTAGGGGCAGTGGCAGATAGGAGACGCAGTTGCATTTTCCTTTCTTTATTTGTTATTAATTTATTTTTGTCTTGAGATTTGTGCAAATTGCAAACCCATTTTCTTTCTGTAGATAAGTTCAAAGTTAAGTATACATGGTTTGTGTACAAATTAATATTTATTCTGTAGTATAACTGATCTAGTGTAGAGCATTGTTTGTGATGTCAAAGTTGTATTTTACATGTTTAGCATATATACCTCGTGTAGTTTTGTTGTTAAAGTTCCTGATGCCAAAGTTGTGTTTGAACCTCATTCTTGCTGCTTGTAGTATTTATTTTAATAGCTGTTTTCAATGCCAAAGTTGGACATTAAAAAAGTTCAAATAAGATTACTACAAACTTGTGCTTTAAGTAATCATTACAGCTGGATTCCAGTGTCATTACAGGTACCGGGGGGGGGGGGGGGGGGGGGGCAATATGATGCAAATTTTATGGATAGATTTTCTGACACTGATGTTGTAGGTATTGATATTGGTGTAGTGTTGCCCTTGTGTTTTCATATCTTTACCTTTACTGGTGTAAACGAAATCATAACCTTTTATCTTGCTTATTTTATAGACAAATTAAAGTTTTCGGAAAGCAAACATCACCTTCCTTGTGAATAATGCATTTTTCCTTTTTTTTTTGTTGTTGCTTATCCAGGACATTCATTTCAAGGGGACTGGAGGTAGAGATGGTACGAAGTTGAAATTAAATGCAAATGAAAGCACAGAAAAACAAATTCTGAGTGAGTAAAGTTGAGAGAAAGAGGAAGTTTTTGACAGAATCAAGAAGATAAAAACACACAGGATTTGTTGATTGGATGACAATGACAGGGCAGAGTTTTTTTTTTTGGGGGGGGGGGGTGGGGTTAAAGATTGACAAGCAAGCGAAAATATAAAGGGTCGTATGCCTAAAAGTAAGTTATTGCTTTTTACTAGGATTTGACTTATAAATTTACTTATCATAACATTGTTTTTTGTTATAATACGTAAATGTATTATTACTCATCATGTACTTATTTATCATAACAGTGTTATAGTAAGTTAAAAGCAATTACTTACTTTCATGCATACGGCCCAATGTATCAATATTATTGGGTTAGCAAGGGGAACTTGTTCATAAGACAGTAGGTGCAGTGGAAACTCGATATAAAGAGTTCCGATATAACAAAATACCCGATTTGTTTGGTATTGTCTATTGACTACTGATATAACGAGCAAAATTTTGTGGTCCTACCTCGTTAAATAGAGTGTACACTGTATATGCTGCCTGAAAGGGAATTTGTCTTGCCAGTGGCACATACACACCATACAGAGTGCCTCTTGGCCTCTGAAAAACATTTTCAAAGTCTGGAGGACAACTCTCACCTGACAAATTAACTTTAGAGAGATTTGTGTTGGGGGCTCATCTTCAATTCTCTTTGCTTGCTTGTCAGACCATCTTCGAAATCTTACCCCCCCCCCCCCCAACTATATCCTTGCCTATATTATGTCATCCAGGGGCTTCTTGGAGTTAGGGTCCTGATATGTTTTAAAGAGATAGAGAGAAAGCGAGTGAGAAAGAAAGTGAACAGTATTAACAGCCTTAGTAGGACAGAAACAAAACGACACACACTCATCTAAAAAAAAGCACTCATTCTCAAATGGCTTGTCCACCTCTACCCCCCCCCCCACCTCTTATGTTCTTCAAATCTGTTCATAAGGAATGCAAGGTACATGTACACATGAACTGTAAACCAGGTACCCTCAAACATGAATTACCGGTAAGCCTGAAAATAAAGCTGTAAAAAGCACACATTTACATTGTAGTTTTGAGAGTATGAGACACAAAATAGCTCATATTCCTTTTTTGGTTTTAATTCTCTCTGGATGGATAGTTCAATGAAAAAGTACCATGAGCAAAGATCTGTATACATGTACCTTGTTCACACCACTTTCAAACATAACTTTTCAGTGAATCCACAACTCAATTCAATCTGCTGATACATCTTTGCCTGCAACCGGCAATATCAAATCATCAATGCTTATGTCTGTAAACAAACAAGTTTCCACAAATGTCTGAAATTATATGTACATGTATTTTCAACTCTCATGAATTAATTATATTCTCAACAACATATTACATACAAAATGAAAACTCGTCCACAGTGCACAAAGTCATAGCATGCAAATTGATTGATGCAAGAAGAGTTTTAAATTAGCTTACCCATATCAAGTCCGCTGCTTTGTTAAAATCAGCACAATGTTTATAGATATGAAAGGGTATTCATGTTGAAGCATCAAACAAATATCAGGGCAATGATTCTTAATAGAAATTACCCATTCAACATTTTTTTCTTATCCTAAGCAAAATAAACAAATAACAACCTGGAATCTTGCCAGACACACAGATTGGATATATCAGTTCATTTATTAATGTGATTCCATGTTAAGATTACCAGGATAAAAACATTGAAAATATTCAAAGGCTGGCATCACTTTATTTTTGGTAACTTCTTTACATAATATTGCCAGTACTATGGGATTACATGAACACAATACATATCTGGTAGTCCAATTTACTCTTTAAAAAAAAAATAGAAAAGAAAAAAATAATAATAAAAATAGCGATGATGATGCCAATAATAACTACCCACCATAGCAGTACTACTCACATTGTAACTCATGCCAGGCACTCTACCGTCCATAAAGAAAAAGTTAAGTTCAATTATTTATCAACAAATAAAATAAAATGAAAATGATATTAAAATAAACAAAAACATGTATGGTTATCCTTCACTTTTAATGTTATACACGATGTACATTATTTACACAAAAAAATACACACCAACAATTTCTGTACCGGTAATCAAAACAAGGTATTCTGATTGAACACATGTACACTGTCTATTTTTATATTTGGGTGTGGTACATCGATCCCATTTTCGTTCTCCATTTGAAGGATTAACTTACTCCCAGTAAACCTTGCCGTATGTATGCACATTGGTTTGAAGATGGTTTTGAATACAACAAGCTCATACAATGATAATCATCTATGAAATTCTTTAATCAAATTTTTAATAAAATGTAACTGAATGCGAGACATTGGTTGTTGGAAATGCCTCTGTAGACTGAAGAATACTAGTACTCGGTTAATATGGATTGCAAACAGATAATCCTAGTTTTGTTTTTCTTTCTTTTTTTTGTGTGGGAGGGGAGGGGAACATTGTAGGTGGAGCTTTAAATTATTTGAAAAAGAAAAGAATACATGTGTAAAACTCCTGAATGTTTGGATTCAAAACATGAGATGTATGCAGTACTGTGCATCAACTAGGTCAACTTGCATTTGTTCGTCTTGAGAACTTAAGCATCTGTAAGATGTTGGAGTAAAGCATTACGTATCCTTGTTGCATCACGGTTTTGTTCGTCATTCATACCTGGGACATTTGGAGCCTGCCCATCCCCACCATTGGCACCAAGAAGATCAAGATCAAAGTTCTCACCTGCAGACTCGCACAAATTGTGTAAAACACAGCATGCTACCACAAGATCACCAAGATATTTTACATGAGTGTCTTGTCTTTTAAGAAGTATTCTCCACCTTCCTTTCAGTCTACCGAATCCATTTTCAACAAACATCCTAGCTCTGCTCAGGCGATAATTGAAGTGCCGTTTCTCTCTTGTTAGCTGGCCATTGTCATGGAAGGGTTTCATGAGCCATGGCAATAAAGGATAGGCACTGTCGCCAAGGATAGCAACAGGAACTTGCGTTTCACCAATTTCACGTAGGAGGGGAGGACATAGTTCTCCCTCATTGCCAAGCCTAAAAACCCTAGAATTAGTGAACACCCGGGCATCATGTACACTTCCAGGATATCCAAAATTTATGTTCATGAACCTGTATCTATGATCCACTAGACCTTGTAGCACCATGCTATAAAACCCTTTTCGATTATAATAATCCGCTCGAAATTCCTTAGGTGATAGCACGGGAATATGGCTGCCATCAATGGCGCCAAAACATTGAGGGAATCCCCACTTTACTTCAAATTCGCGTACGACATCTGCAGCAGCATCTCCTCGTGGAATCCTGATCATGTCGTTAGCGAGCGTCACCACTATAGCCCTGCAAACCTGAAATGAGATGTGATGGGAGAAGGAAAACAAGAAAGAAAAAAAGAGAGCAAGGTTAGTAACTACAAAAGTACAATATCATAATGTCTATCATTCATGATTTTTAAATATTCGATTCAAAGATAGGCCCCCTACTTAAAACAATAAATAAATAAAGCCTGGCGTGCCAACAGGGGTAAAATATGTGAACAGAAAACCAATTCATAAATGTCTATCATTCATGATTTTTAAATATTTGATTCAAAGATAGGCCCCCTGCTTAAAAAAATAAAAAATAAAGCCTGGCGTGGCAACAGGGGTACAATATCTGAACAGAAAACCAATTCATAAATAAATAAAGAAAGAAAGAAGTACAACCAAATCAGTAGATCTAATGAATAAATAAAAAAAGAAGGAAAACCAATTCATCAATTAATAAATACATTTTTTTAAAGAAGGGGGTGTATTTTAATCAATAACTGAGGTATGCTTGCATACTAGTACTACACAGTCATTCGCCCTCGTATCTTCAATCATCACTGGCTTCGACATATTTAGAATTTAACCTTTTCAAAATGACCAATTTAATTATTTTCAATTTGAACATAAACCATTTCAATAAATATAAACGTCTTTAAATAAAGCATTCAGTAGATAGAAGTGGTGTAGGCCTAATGGGAACAGAAAAAAAAGAGCGGGCCAGCAGAATAATTAATAGGCCCTAGACCCTATATAAAAGCAAATGACAATGACAATGTTGGAATAAACAACAACAATCTATTAATTGCAAATATCTATTTATTTGGACTTAACAAGGCAGGGCTGTACTGTAGCCCCAACCAAGGCCATACCCTCAAACTTTCTGGCACTATACCCCCCCCCCCCCATAAACAAAATCATTTTTAATTTCATAGCTAATTTAATAACCATCAATCTTTTTATTGGTTTATTTTTAAGTTTAATTTTCTAATTTTAAACAAGACTAGGTCTAGATCTATATCTAGAATCTACCTGATGAACTATGCAGCAAACAGTCGAAGTACCAACGCCAAACATCTGTGCTATGGTCCGATATTCTACATTGGTGGCGAGACGCCACAGGGTGATGGCAACCCGATGCTCGACTCGAATGGCTACCCGAAATTTCGTGTCCATCTTCTGGATGATTGGTCGTAGTTGGCCGCAAAGAAAGTTAAACGTTTGCCATGACATACGGAAGTGGCTGAGCCAATCCTCCTGCTCAAATGTGTCGATGACGATGGTCTTCCACCAAAAGTCGCTTTTGGGTAACGACCAGGGCTTCAAAACGTTGTCGATCATCATGCACCGAGAGGATTCCATCATCGAAAGAATGCCAACGATCGACGTTAGTTCCTCAGTCAAAGCTCTTTCGAATTGCCTGTGACGCCAGGCTCTTCTCCTTGCTAGGGCATTCCTTCTAGAATTCTCCCGAACTCGCCTCTTCATGAAATAGATGTTCAAGAGCAGAACGATCGCACTCAACATTTCATTCGGAGCCATGATTACTAGTATGCGTCGAGATCGAGATCGTTTACTACGTAGGCCTAGAACTACTTCCAATTCCGATCGATCGGAATTGAATTTATATTTATATTGAATTTAGCGCGCGGGTTTTTCCCCTTCATTTAGTCGAAAGGCGCATGCGCGGTAGCAAAAGCATTAATATTCATGAGCTATCGAATAGTCCGGGGCTAAGGCGAACGTAGTGTGAATCGCGTGAAATTTCTTAACCCCGGCTAAGCACATAGTCCGGGGTTAAGAAAATAGATGTGAACAGCAAAAAAAATAGTATGGGGTTAAGGATAGTATGGGGTTAAGGATAGTCCGGGGTTAAGAAAAATAGATGTGAAAAGGGTAAAAGAGAGCTAGAAAAAAGAAAAGATAGGAGCCATAAATATGGAATCATTGGAATGTATAAGCTATGTTATCCTGCAGTCTGCAGAGGTGTTAGGAGGTGCTATATAAAAATTAAATATTATTATTACTCGTGACACAGTCAAAGACCAGAGGTGTATCAAAAGAGCTTATCCTTTCAAGAAATCCATGTTTTCATTTGCAAATCTAAATGACAACATTCACCAGGTTAATGTCATCCGAGTATGAATGGGCTTGGGATAGATTTTAAATTCCATTGTACTGGACAAGCACCATATACCCTAGAAACATCTCATGTGCTACTTGGAGGAACTGTAATGGTTTGAATTAATTTTGTAAAGGGGAATCCCCGTGGACCGTACAGGAAAGCACACATTTCTTCTGGCTCATGGCACCAGAACAGACCAGGCAAATGATAATTTTAATTCTATTAAACATACTACTATTGGAAGCTTGCATGGTTTGGGGAAAATGTAAATATTTTGAAATGCACTTTTCCTTCTCCATTTTTAGGATATGGCCTTGTGACCACAAGACCCTTTTTCAAGGGAAACTTTCTTCTGGAGTACCGTGGAGATCTGACCATTGCTCCTGATGAAGATGAAGAGAATGTGGACTATGTCTTCCATTTTTCTCACAATAATACAAAGTATCGGTAAGTAATTTAGATTAGTTTATTTCCTTGACTTTAGTATTTTGAGTGACAAAGTATTATGCTTGTTTCATGGGCATTTTTAGGATTCATCATTTTGGATAGGTCCATTCTTAGTTGAGCAAATAACTATCCTCTGTTAGCTACTCAGCTTAAACAAGAAGAACAATCATCCCCAATAACCTTGGAAAAAGAAGAAATTGATGAAATGAAATATCTACTTGTTTAATTACATTATAATTTATAGAATTGTCACTACCGTAGTTCAAGGATGAATCCTTTTAAATCTTGCATACCAATCTCGAGTCATGTTGGTTTCCTTAACTTATGTAGGACCTTTAGGTGTCAGTTATTTCACACCACCAATGCTCATAGTACAGTGGTTTATCTAATGGGACAGATTAGGAAGTTTAGTTACTATTAGTAGCCTACTGTCATCGTTTGTGTGCTTGATATTTGTACTCTTTCCAGTATTGATGCGTCAGAGGAAGATTCATGCCTGGCAAGGTGGGTGAATGACGATCACATCCACCCAAACTGTGTAATTAAGAAAGTCACATTCAACCAGTCAAGTGGTTCTAGCCTTCCACATCTGTGCTTATTTGCATTAGTGGATATTAGACCTGGTGCTGAATTGAGATACGATTATGGCGTTGACAACTTACCATGGCGACAGGTACATGTTTCGTTTGTTTATTCTCATATATAGATTTGCTAAAAGGTGGACCTTAGAATGGGTAAATTAGCCACTAACCTACTTTCTGACATTCAAGATATTAATTCAGTGTTTAAAACTGCTAACTTAATACACAAAGGTGGACCTTATAATTTGTAAATGTGCTATACTGAGCTGACAAAGTGGACCTCACTTTAAGTGTTTTTGATGGTCTAAGCTAAAGTTTTAAAGGAAAAGAAAGATACCTTTAATACTCAGCATAGACTTGATAAACTACCTAAATCAATGAAAGTGGACCCAACAGTGTCTACAATTGATCAAATAATCTAGCAAAGGTGACTTCCAAGATAATTTCAAATGATCGTAACCTAATAAGGTGGACCTTTTATTACCATGGAATAAGCCAATGTTATGATTTGCTGAACTTTGTATAGCTTAACCAAGATACATGGACCTAACAATGTATAACATTGTGCAAAGAAAGTTTTACTAAACTAAACTAACAAAAATGAACCTTACAATGTGTAGACTCGCTATAAAAGAAACCTAACAAATATGGACCTCACAATGTTTAAGCTACTTTTATGATGACCTTGTTTTATTTTACATAAAAAAAGATATTACAGAGCTTTAATTAGGTTAATATTGCATTCTACATTTTCGTTCAAATCTCTAATATTGCTCCCCAATAGCCACCATCTGGGACAGATGTGAATGTGAAAGAGGATGATTGCAAGCCAACATGTGATCTGAGTTTAAATTGTTATTCATATGAAAGCTGAAAGCCTATAAAATGTGGCCTACTTTTTTGGTGAAAGTAGATCTTTTTTCCACTGAAAAGAAAAAAAGCTAGAGTATATGATTACTATTGCTTAGAGCGCTTAGAGACTACTTTAATACTTACTACTTACTTACTATATTCAATTTTGTTTTCAAATGAAGAATAAAAAGTTGAGCATAATTCACACAAATTATTTTGTCTGCAAAGTAAAGTGTTTTGGTAAGCCTGATATACGTATTTGTAAGGGGACAAAACTTCAAACCACCACTAATTATAATGATTATCCAATGATCTTATATTTTGAAACAATGAAGGAGGATGCTGCCAGACAGAGGGAACGTGAGACGGCAGAGCAATTGGTGAATACAGCAGAACGGAAACGTTTGAGAGAGGAGGCTGAGTGGGAGGCTGAGTGGGAGGCCGAGAAACGAAAGAGGGAAGAACGAGTTAGACAAGAAGAGGAGGAACAGAGGAGGACGGAGGAAGAAGAAGAAAGGATTAGGGATTTGAAAATTCAGGTAAGAACTTCATTATTTAAATTGTGAGATTGCAATGAAAAAGAATAACGGATTAGGAAGTCAGAAAGATGGGTAAGAACTTCTTTATTTAAAGGAAAACGAACCCTTCCTTCTTGTCTTTTCATATTGATTCTACTCTTCTTCTTTAAAAAAAAAGTATTTGTACTATCTGCTTCCCTTTTCTCCTTTAAGTGATATTTATGTACTTTACTTTAGAATCAAACATTCAACAAGGCTTTATGCTCTTTTTCATTAACCCTTGTTATATACTAATTGTTTCTTTTATAATTTTGTAAATCTTAGTGTTTACTTATATCTAATAGTTTGATCTGATCATCTTCCTATTTTTTATTTTTACATCCTCTTCACATAGAATCAGTTTGAAAAATACAAAGAAAAAAAAAACATCCATAATCAAGAAGAATGACAAAATATTCCTGTTTCTTTCTTACAGTCACAGTCATATACACCGGATAGTGAAGAAGAAAGTGAAGAAGAATTCTTCCCAAGAAGTTTGAGAAACAAGACTTCTAATAGGGTAAGAATATTCATTGTTTCTATGTATCATTGAACCCAATAACCCTATTTGTTAATCTTTTTTGGCAAAAATCATATCACATAACAAATATAACAAACATGAGTGAAGACAAAGTCGATAGAAAACATATAAATCACGATAGCAGGTGCATAAATTAATCGTGAACAAAACATATTGAGTTGTCAACAAATTAATGTCAATACCTATACGGTCGTGTCAAAAATGTCATATAGAAAAATCATATAGCCATAACTTTATTATTCCATTCACATTTGTGCTGACTTGTTTTATTCTGTCTGAACTTTGATTTCAAACTTGTTGACTTGAGGGTTTGGGTTTCTTTTTAATCTGTGCCCACAGCTCCATTCACTACCTGTAGTTTCCTTAAAACCACCCCTCCCACCTCCCACTCCTTCAATTTCTCCTTCCTCTTCTTTCACATCTGCTCTTTCTCTTCCTTTCAACTACTTTCCTCATACTCCTCCCGTTCCTGTTACTTTTTCTTCTTCCTCATCTTCTCTTTCTCATTCTCTTTCCCTACATCCTGTCCCCTTTTCTTACTCTGAATCTTCACTTACATGTCTTTCAGGCAATTATCTCTTTGCTCCTCCTCCTTCTCCTGTCCGATTTTCCCCTTCTCATTCTCCTTCCCCTTCTTCCTCTCCTCCTCCTTCTCCTCCTTCCTCTCCTTCTCCTACTGCTCCGCGTTCATCTCCTCCTATTTCTACTAATGCTTTTCTTCCCCGACCCTCATATTCTCTTCCTGTTTTTTTCCATAATACTCTGTACTTTTTTCTTGCTCTATTACTTCTTCTTCTTCTTCTTTTCATTATATTTGTCATTCTTTTGTATGTTCTTGAGTAATTTTCTCAAAGCTATTTTATTGATTTCCCCACTTTTATTTCATTTCTAGTGGGGTGGTGTATTTCCTTCCTCTTTTTTCCACTTCTCCTCCTCTTCTCCCCCTTCCTCTCTAACTCGATCCTCATTCTCCTCCTTCTCCTCATTCTCCTCCTCTCCTTCCTCTCATGCTATTCCTTCCTTTTTTCTTGCTCCCTTATTTCTTCTTCTTTTCATTCTACTTCTGATTTTTTGTTATGTTCTTGACACTGTTATTCATGTCCCCCCTTTTATTTTGTTTCTACTGGGGTGGGAGGGGGTGGGGACGTGGCTGACAAAGGAATTAGCCAATTGGTAAGATATTAACTTATTATTAGGTTGAATCGTATTTCACTGGTAGATGAAGGGTGCCCATTCAAGCGTAGCGAGCGTAATCTCAATGGTATCCGAATGGTATTTAAATGGTGTTTGTGAATGGTATCTGTATGGTATTTTCAGTGGTACTTCCGAATGGTATACCATTGGTATAATAGTGGGTTCTTGTATAGCGCTCATGTCAGTCAGATTTGACCCTCCTGGCGCTCCCGATTATTACCCTGGCTTTAGCACGGCTGCCATACGGCGCTCTAGCATTTCAAGGAATCAATTCCTACCAGGTACCCATTTACTTCACCTGGGTGTAGTGTGGCAAATGTAGATCAATGTCTTGCCAAAGAACATTAGCGCGGCGGCATAACATTGAACATTTTTTTGTAAGGGTTGTTTGACATTGCAAATACACCTAAATACCCCATTTGTTTGACAATGTAAATGCACCCAATGAAACATTCTATTTCTTCAACTGTGCAAACACACCAATTCAACACCCTATTTGTTTGACAATGTAAATTCACCCAATGAAACAAACAAATAGGGTATTGAATAGGTGTATTTGCAATGTCAAACAAATGGGTGTTGAATTGGTGTGTTTGCAATGTCAAACAAATGGGGTGTTGAATAGGTGTATTTGCAATGTCAAACAAATGGGGTGTTGAATTGGTGTGTTTGCACAGTTGAAGAAATAGAATGTTGAATAGGTGCATTTGCTTTGTCAAACAAATGGGGTATTGAATAGGTGTATTTGCAATGTCAAACAAATGGGGTATTGAATTGGTGTATTTGCAATGTCAAACAAATGGGGTGTTGAATTGGTGTGTTTGCACTGTTCAAGAAATTGAATGTTTCATTGGGTGCATTTGCTTTGTCAAACAAATGGGGTGTTGAATAGGTGTATTTGCAATGTCAAACAAATGGGGTGTTGAATTGGTGTGTTTGCACAGTTGAAGAAATAGAATGTTGAATAGGTGCATTTGCAATGTCAAACAAATGGGGTATTGAATAGGTGTGTTTGCAATGTCAAACAAATGGGGTGTTGAATTGGTGTGTTTGCAATGTCAAACAAATGGGGTGTTGAATTTGTGTGTTTGCACAGTTGTAGAAATAGAATGTTGAATAGGTGCATTTGCAATGTCAAACAAATGGGGTGTTGAATTGGTGTGTTTGCAATGTCAAACAAATGGGGTGTTGAATTGGTGTGTTTGCACAGTTGAAGAAATAGAATGTTGAATAGGTGCATTTGCTTTGTCAAACAAATGGGGTGTTGAATTGGTGTGTTTGCAATGTCAAACAAATGGGGTGTTGAATTTGTGTGTTTGCACAGTTGAAGAAATAGAATGTTGAATAGGTGCAATTGCAATGTCAAACAAATGGGGTGTTGAATTGGTGTGTTTGCAATGTCAAACAAATGGGGTATTGAATAGGTGCATTTGCTTTGTCAAACAAATGGGGTATTGAATAGGTGTGTTTGCAATGTCAAACAAATGGGGTATTGAATAGGTGTGTTTGCAATATCAAACAAATGGGGTATTGAATAGGTGTGTTTGCAATGTCAAACAAATGGGGTGTTGAATTAGTGTGTTTGCATAGTTGAAGAAATAGAATGTTGAATAGGTGCATTTGCTTTGTCAAACAAATGGGGTATTGAATAGGTGTGTTTGCAATGTCAAACAAATGGGGTGTTGAATTGGTGTGTTTGCAATGTCAAACAAATGGGGTGTTGAATTTGTGTGTTTGCACAGTTGAAGAAATAGAAAGTTGAATAGGTGCATTTGCTTTGTCAAACAAATGGGGTATTGAATAGGTGTATTTGCAATGTCAAACAAATGGGGTGTTGAATTTGTGTGTTTGCACAGTTGAAGAAATAGAATGTTGAATAGGTGTGTTTGCAATGTCAAACAAATGGGGTATTGAATAGGTGTGTTTGCAATGTCAAACAAATGGGGTATTGAATAGGTGTGTTTGCAATGTCAAACAAATGGGGTGTTGAATTAGTGTGTTTGCATAGTTGAAGAAATAGAATGTTGAATAGGTGCATTTGCTTTGTCAAACAAATGGGGTGTTGAATTGGTGTGTTTGCACAGTTGAAGAAATAGAATGTTAAATAGGTGCATTTGCTTTGTCAAACAAATGGTGTTGAATTGGTGTGTTTGCACAGTTGAAGAAATAGAATGTTGAATAGGTGCATTTACATTGTCAAACAAATGGGGTGTTGAATTGGTGTGTTTGCACAGTTGAAGAAATTGAATGTTTCATTGGGTGCATTTGCTTTGTCAAACAAATGGGGTGTTGAATTGGTGTGTTTGCACAGTTAAAGAAATAGAATGTTAAATAGGTGCATTTGCTTTGTCAAACAAATGGTGTTGAATTGGTGTGTTTGCACAGTTGAATAAATAGAATGTTGAATAGGTGCATTTGCTTTGGCAAACAAATGGGATTTGAATAGGTGTATTTACATTGTCAAACAAATGGGGTGTTGAATTGGTGTGTTTGCACAGTTGAAGAAATTGAATGTTTCATTGGGTGCATTTGCTTTGTCAAACAAATGGGGTGTTGAATTGGTGTGTTTGCACAGTTGAAGAAATAGAATGTTGAATAGGTGCATTTGCTTTGTCAAACAAATGGGGTGTTGAATTGGTGTGTTTGCACAGTTGAAGAAATAGAATGTTGAATAGGTGCATTTGCTTTGTCAAACAAATGGGGTGTTGAATTTGTGTGTTTGCACAGTTGAAGAAATAGAAAGTTGAATAGGTGCATTTGCTTTGTCAAACAAATGGGGTATTGAATAGGTGTATTTGCAATGTCAAACAAATGGGGTGTTGAATTTGTGTGTTTGCACAGTTGAAGAAATAGAATGTTGAATAGGTGCATTTGCTTTGTCAAACAAATGGGGTGTTGAATTGGTGTGTTTGCACAGTTGAAGAAATAGAATGTTGAATAGGTGCATTTGCTTTGTCAAACAAATGGGGTGTTGAATTGGTGTGTTTGCACAGTTGAAGAAATAGAATGTTGTATAGGTGCATTTGCTTTGTCAAACAAATGGGGTATTGAATTGGTGTGTTTGCAATGTCAAACAAATGGGGTGTTGAATTGATGTGTTTGCAATGTCAAACAAATGGGGTGTTGAATTGGTGTGTTTGCACAGTTGAAGACATAGAATGTTGAATAGGTGCATTTGCTTTGTCAAACAAATGGGGTATTGAATAGGTGTGTTTGCAATGTCAAACAAATGGGGTGTTGAATTAGTGTGTTTGCACTGTTCAAGAAATAGAATGTTGAATAGGTGCATTTGCTTTGTCAAACAAATGGGGTATTGAATAGGTGTGTTTGCAATGTCAAACAAATGGGGTGTTGAATTAGTGTGTTTGCATAGTTGAAGAAATAGAATGTTGAATAGGTGCATTTGCTTTGTCAAACAAATGGGGTGTTGAATTGGTGTGTTTGCACAGTTGAAGAAATAGAATGTTAAATAGGTGCATTTGCTTTGTCAAACAAATGGTGTTGAATTGGTGTGTTTGCACAGTTGAAGAAATAGAATGTTGAATAGGTGCATTTGCTTTGGCAAACAAATGGGATTTGAATAGGTGTATTTACATTGTCAAACAAATGGGGTGTTGAATTGGTGTGTTTGCACAGTTGAAGAAATTGAATGTTTCATTGGGTGCATTTGCTTTGTCAAACAAATGGGGTGTTGAATTGGTGTGTTTGCACAGTTAAAGAAATAGAATGTTAAATAGGTGCATTTGCTTTGTCAAACAAATGGTGTTGAATTGGTGTGTTTGCACAGTTGAAGAAATAGAATGTTGAATAGGTGCATTTGCTTTGGCAAACAAATGGGATTTGAATAGGTGTATTTACATTGTCAAACAAATGGGGTGTTGAATTGGTGTGTTTGCACAGTTGAAGAAATTGAATGTTTCATTGGGTGCATTTGCTTTGTCAAACAAATGGGGTGTTGAATTGGTGTGTTTGCACAGTTGAAGAAATAGAATGTTGAATAGGTGCATTTGCTTTGTCAAACAAATGGGGTGTTGAATTGGTGTGTTTGCACAGTTGAAGAAATTGAATGTTTCATTGGGTGCATTTGCTTTGTCAAACAAATGGGGTGTTGAATTGGTGTGTTTGCACAGTTGAAGAAATAGAATGTTGAATAGGTGCATTTGCTTTGTCAAACAAATGGGGTGTTGAATTGGTGTGTTTGCACAGTTGAAGAAATAGAATGTTGAATAGGTGCATTTGCTTTGTCAAACAAATGGGGTGTTGAATTGGTGTGTTTGCAATGTCAAACAAATGGGGTGTTGAATTTGTGTGTTTGCACAGTTGAAGAAATAGAATGTTGAATAGGTGCAATTGCAATGTCAAACAAATGGGGTGTTGAATTGGTGTGTTTGCAATGTCAAACAAATGGGGTATTGAATAGGTGCATTTGCTTTGTCAAACAAATGGGGTATTGAATAGGTGTGTTTGCAATGTCAAACAAATGGGGTATTGAATAGGTGTGTTTGCAATATCAAACAAATGGGTATTGAATAGGTGTGTTTGCAATGTCAAACAAATGGGGTGTTGAATTAGTGTGTTTGCATAGTTGAAGAAATAGAATGTTGAATAGGTGCATTTGGTTTGTCAAACAAATGGGGTATTGAATAGGTGTGTTTGCAATGTCAAACAATGGGGTGTTGAATTGGTGTGTTTGCAATGTCAAACAAATGGGGTGTTGAATTGGTGTGTTTGCTAAGTTGAAGAAATAGAATGATGAATAGGTGCATTTGCTTTGGCAAACAAATGGGGTGTTGAATTGGTGTGTTTGCACAGTTCAAGAAATTGAATGTTTCATTGGGTGCATTTGCTTTGTCAAACAAATGGGGTGTTGAATTGGTGTGTTTACATTGTCAAACAAATGGGTGTTGAATTGGTGTGTTTGCACAGTTGAAGAATTAGAATGTTGAATAGGTGCATTTGCTTTGTCAAACAAATGGGTGTTGAATTGGTGTGTTTGCACAGTTGAAGAAATAGAATGTTGAATAGGTGCATTTGCAATGTCAAACAAATGGGGTGTTGAATTGGTGTGTTTGCACAGTTGAAGAAATAGAATGTTGAATAGGTGCATTTGCTTTGGCAAAAAAATGGGGTGTTGAATTGGTGTGTTTGCAATGTCAAACAAATGGGGTGTTGAATTGGTGTGTTTGCACAGTTGAAGAAATAGAATGTTGAATAGGTGCATTTGCAATGTCAAACAAATGGGGTGTTGAATTGGTGTGTTTGCAATGTCAAACAAATGGGGTGTTGAATTGGTGTGTTTGCACAGTTGAAGAAATAGAATGTTTCATTAGGTGCATTTGCCTTGTAAAACAAATGGGGTGTTGAATTTGTGTGTTTGCACAGTTGAAGAAATAGAAGGTTTCATTGCATGGGTGCATTTGGTTTGTTAAACAAATGGGGTATTGAATAGGTGTATTTGCAATGTCAAACAAATGGGGTGTTGAATTGGTGTGTTTGCACTGTTCAAGAAATAGAATGTTGAATAGGTGCAGTTGCTTTGTTAAACAAATGGGGTGTTGAATTGGTTTGTTTGCAATGTAAAACAAATAGGGTGTTGAATTGGTGAATATATTTGCAATGTCAGACATTTTGTAAGTATTATTTTTTATGTCATGCTTCATCGACCAATGGTAGGACTTCACCAAAATTACAAATGTGAACCCCCATGCCCCCTCCTGGGACAAATTTGGGTTTGTGGGACATTATGACCTTAAGTGTGAGAAACTGTTGCAAAACAAAGTCTAATATTATTGTACCACCTACCACCATACAAATTGCTTTTGTATGGACAAAATTCTTTGGGAAGGTACAGAGAATTTTTGATTGGGGCTCGTATCTAGAGTAATAACTTGTGCATGACACACTGAATTAATATGAAGTGACAATTTCATCAGTTTACCCTATAACTTCAATGGTGACAATGATCTTGCCCAGCACTTTATTCTAAAAATTACTGTAAAATTTTGCCCCAGGTTGAAAATTTTGGTGTAAATTGTTAGTAAAAAAAAGAAGAAGTATACTCAAGCATGTGTCTATTGAGCCTTAATTCAATGTAAAATGTTGACATATTTATGCCTTCGCACACCGAAGGTGGTGCCAGAGGCATCATGTTTTTGGATTGTCCGTCCGTTACCGCTTCTTGTTAGCGTGATTACTTATGACCGGCTGATCGGATGTTTGATATCAGATTTGATTTGAGCTCTGATTTGAGCTCTTGACCACGATAACTTGAATGGTTTATTTGATATTGATGTAATGTGGGTGAAGTATGTATCATAAGCCCCCAATAAACTGCTCAGATTTCAGGGTTCAAAGGTCACAGGGCCTGAAATATGTCTGACTTGAGCTCTGGACAACGATAACTTGAGAAAGGTTTATCGGAAATTAATATAACTTGGGTGACGTATATATTATAAGGCACCAATGAACTGATCAAATTTCAGGGTTGATAGGTCAAAGGTCACATGGCCCTATACTTGGTGTTTTACCACAACTTGAAAGTGGTTAATTGGATATTGATGGGGCTTTGGTGAGGTATCTGTTAATAAGGCACCAATGAACTGATCAGATTTCAGGGTTGAAAGGTCGAAGGTCATGAGATATCATGCTTAGTGATAATGTGACAATGGCTCATTGGATATTGATGTAACTTAAAGTATGTATTATTGCGCACTGATAAACTTATCAGATTTTGGGTCATGATCAGCGTTCAAAATTCGCGGGGCCCCCATACCTGGTGTCTTTACAAATTGGACCCGGGTGCGGAATAATACCTGCCGGCTGCATGCAGCCGAATAATCTCTAGTTATTGTTGACTTTTCAAAAATACACATCATTGTAAAGATATATTCCAGATTTGTATCCAGGATTACAGTATATCTGAATATCTCATCAAATGTGAAAAATAAAGAGGAAAAAATAAAAATTTGTACCGAAAGTTTCAGTCACAATTAAACTTTACTCTCATTGCCATCAGCATGTAAAACACCCAAATGAATTAAAGTTGTGCCTCTTGTATTTGCTTTTTCAGGAAATTAACTCCAACAGACAACAGAAAAAAGTGGCACCTGTGATGGTTGAAAGTGACAGTGAGATCAACTCCAATGGAAAGAAGAAATTGGTAGAAAGTGAAGGTGATATCAAGTCTAACCGAAAACTGGGAAAAAAAGCACCTGCGATAGTAGAAAGTGACAGTGACAAAGAAGATGAGCCATATGTGGCACCTGTGATGGTTGAAAGTGACAGTGAGATCAACTCCAATGGAAAGAGGAAATTGGTAGAAAGTGATGGTGATATCAAGTCTAACCAAAAACTGGGAAAAAAAGCACCTGCGATAGTAGAAAGTGACAGTGACAAAGAAGATGAGCCATATGTGGCACCTGTGATGGTTGAAAGTGACAGTGAGATCAACTCCAATGGAAAGAGGAAATTGGTAGAAAGTGATGGTGATATCAAGTCTAATCGAAAACTGGGAAAAAAGGCACCTGCGATAGTAGAAAGTGACAGTGACAAAGAAGATGAGCCATATGTAGCTGCATCAAATACAAAACCCAACGGACCAAGGAAATGGGATTGATATTCATACTGTCTATATTGCGGTAAGAAGCAGTCACAGCTTAAACGCCATCTGTTACGAAAGCACACAGATGAGTCAATGGTTGCAGAAGCCCAGGCAACAGTTGATGATAACAGAAAAACGCAAATATGGTCAAAAATAAAGAAATTAGGGGACTTTGAGCACAATCAAAAGGTACACATTGGAGAAGCAATGGATTTAAAAGTAACAAAGAGGCCTAAATATAAAGCGAAATATGATGTGAATGATTACGTCCCATGCTCTTATTGTTACGGATATTACCATATTCATTCCCTGTACATTCACAGAAAAAATTGTAAAGCAAAAGATGGAAGCAAGAACAATGCAACAAACAAAAACATGCATGTGAAAAGTGGTAGAGCTCTTATACCTATGAAGCATAGCACAACAAGTCAATGTCGCAGAGCAGTTGATTCAATGGGTTGCAATGATATATCACTAATAATAAAAAATGATCAAGACATCCTTGGTGTTGGACAGAATCACTTAGGAAAAAGCAATTCTGCTAAGAAGGAAGAAACATGCAGAGAAAAAATGAGGACAGTCGCAAAAATTCTACAAGCAGCAAGAAGCATTGACACAAGTATTGTAAATGCGTCAGACATGCTTACTCCTAGCAAATTTGATACTGTAGTTAAGGCTTCTCTTGTTGTAAGCAAATATGATGAAGGCACACAAAAACATGGGGCATACTCTACTGCTCTCAAGCTTGGACCATTTCTTAAAGTCCTGGTGGTGGTTGTCAGGGGCAAGTATTCCAGACAACATATGGAAGACCATGTGAAGACGGTCAATGAATTTGAAAGGTTGCTTGTTGATGAGTGGAACATTCATGTGACTTCCTCTGCACTGCAGCAGCGCACCGAGAAGAATTGGAAAAAACCTAGGACACTGCCTCTCACACAAGATGTTGTTAAATTTAACAAGTATCTTGCAGAAACAGAGAAAGAAATAAAGACAGACATAGAAGAAGCTGGCATGTCACCAGATCTATACAGAGATTTGGCCAATGTAACTCTAGCGCAAATTGTAACATACAATAGAAGACGACCTGGGGAAGTAGAAAGAATGAAAGTAGATGAATACAGAGAGCAGATCACCAAGACTGACATATGCCATGATGAAATTTTCAAGACTCTCACAATGTCAGAGAAGGCAGCAATGAATCGGCTGAAGATGGTAAAGGTCAGAGGCAAGAGAGGAAGGGGAGTTCCAGTCTTTTTGACTGAAAACACAAAACAGAGTGTGGATATGATAATAGACTACCATGACCAAAGGCAAAGAGATGATGAGCCACGCAGATACATATTCTCTCGAGCATGTGACACTGCTAGTACTCCGTACAGAGCCTGTGACGCAATGAAAACACTTACTGATAAGGCAGATCTTATCAAGCCAGAAAATGTCAGGTGTACACGACTACGGAAACATATAGCAACTACGTCCCAGCTGCTGAACTTAAATGATCATGAGTTAGAGCAGTTGGCCAATATGATGGGTCATGATGTTCGTATTCATCGAGAATATTACAGACTTCCGCAAGATGTCCTGCTGTTGGCAAAGGCTAGCAAACTACTCACAATATCTGCAAAAGGTGAAATGCACAAATATGCTGGAAAGTCACTTGAGGAAATTGAGCGGAGTCCAGACGACACTGTAGATCTAGATGAAACCGACCAAACAATGTCGGGAGACACACAGACTGAATATAGTGATGAAGAGACTGGACCTCGTGATGTAGACAAGAGCCCTGGAGGAAGCGATGCAGAAACAGTAGTTAGTGACAGTGAAGAGTCTGAAGTCTTTGAAGAGGTAAGCAGACGTACCCAAGCAAAAGTAAAGCGTGTAGGCAGAAAATACAACAGGTGGACAGATGAACAGACACAATATCTCAAATCCAGGGAAGAAGTCAAGAAAATGTTGAAGACTAAAACTGTGCCAGGAAAACTGGTTGGATTACAAATCATACAAAAGAGTAAGGGACTGCTGAAAGACAAGAACTGGAAAGAAGTTAAATTCAAAGTCCATACTTTAAACCAACTTGAAAGGAAGAGGTTGCAGAAGAAGGAAAAGATGTATGTGAAAAAGTAAGCAGGGTGTTGTGGATGGACCTCTCCTTTGACAGCTGAATTAATTGCGACATACCTGCATTTTGTACCATTTTTTCTTTTTTTGTTTGTATTGAAGTGTTACAAAAATTTGATATAGGTTTTAGTTTAGGGAAAAGAGTTCATATTTTACCTAAATTCAGTATCAGTATGGTACATGCTGCAAATCACATCATGGTTGATTATTACACAGAACACCTCTACACCAAGTGCAGTTGGTAGATGCTTCCAATAATATTGGAATGAATTTTGAAATACTGGCCTTTCAAGTTATCAAATACCTTACCTATGGTATGTGTCAGTGTTGTCTCAATACTCAATTGCCCATTTTCATTTTTTTTTTCAGAAAGTAAGTGTTTCCTATTACTTTAATTAAGTTTAAGAAATCTGTACAGTAAAAGAAATGTCCTGCATTCAAAGCATTTGGTGATGGATATCCAAGAATTGTTATGTTGGTTTCGTTGATTTGCGGATGTAACACTGACACCTGATGTTTCCAAATCAACCAAATGCTTCATCTATCATGAGTCCCTGTGATTTCACTTGATACCATTGGTTGACTGTCTCATGTAAATATGTTGTACAAGTGCATCAATTAAGGGTGGTGGAGGGATAATGTTTTATCCAATATGTTTTATCTCGTAACTCGTGAACAACTCTGATGGGAAGTGCATGAGTGTATACATTTTCTGACAGGAAATTACACAATAAATCCATTGGTGACTCCATTTAAATCACACAAAAAACCTGCTTTTAACCCAATTTTTTGGACCACCATTATAAAGTAACTTTACAGGGAAATTTTTTTTTTAATGTAACATTAATCCAGGCACTTGAACCTCATTTACTACTCTCAGTTGTTTCAAACTCGTACCTATTGTCCAAAACATTGACAAATATTTTTTTGAAAATGTCATTCCCAAGTTTGAGTTTATGCATCATGGGTTATGAAAACAAACTCAAGGACCTACTTTAATACAAAAAATTAAAACTAAAATTTAGTTGCTACTGTATATTCTGCATGAAAGTTTACCAAGGAGATGCTTTATTTTGGTGTCTGGATTAGTTCCAAAAAAAAAAAAAGTGGAGAAAATAATACGACTGAAATTGTTGATTTTATGCAAAAACATTTATTTTCATCCAATGGCATCCAATGGCATCCAATGGCATGTTTCCAGTTTTGTAATGATTGCCAATTGTGTTAATTTCCACAGATTTTAGATTAAACATCCACATGGTATATATTTCTGAAAAATTTGAAACATGTTTGCATAATGTTGCATATGAGTTACAGCGCTGTTATTTTGCTCTCAAATGACCCTTCATTTGCTCAAATCCCTCATCCCACCTGTCACATATATCACTATGCAGATCTTCATGGTAAATATGGTATGTTTTGTTTCAAACCTCATTTTCAAATGATGATAATTGATTACTCAACTGTGCATAGAATAAGTGATTTTACTAATATGCAAAAATGTTTCAACTTTTTGAGAAATGCGTCTGTATATCAAACATCTGTACAAATTCAATTCATAAAACCTTTAAACATGGGTTGAATTGATATTACACATACTGTGTTTATACTTTGCATATAGCACATGATGATTTGTTGATGTAATTTGTTATCCAGTCGATGTAGATTTGAGAAAATTATAAATGCTTTATTTGGGTGTCTGGATTAGTTTTTAAAAAAGTGGAGAAAATAATGATAATTTACTGAAATTGTTGATTTTATGTACAAACATTTATTTTCAGTTAATTTTCAATCTCATATTTGAAAAATCACAAATATTTTGTCTCCTGATTTTAGGACAAGTTTGCTGACAAGAGGCCACGTCCAATGGCATGTTGTTTTCAGTTTTGTAATGATTGCCAATTTTGCGTATTTTTGCAAGTTAATTTCCACAGATTTCTGAGTAAACATCCACATGGTATGTATTTCTGAAAAATTTGAAACATGTTTGCATAATGTTGTATATGAGTTAAAGCGCTGTTTTTTTTTTCTTCTCCCAAATGACCCTTCATTTGCTCAAATCTCTCATCCCACCTGTCACATGTATCACTATGCAAATCTTCATGGTAAATATGGTATGTTTTGTTTCAAACCTCATTTTCAAATGATGATAATTGATTACTCAACTGTGCATAGAATAAGTGATTGTCACAAACGAGGCGTTGTAGAGAAGACTACAGATTTTACTAATGTGCAAACATGTTTCAACTTTTTGAGAAATGCGTCTGTATATCAAACATCTGTACAAATTCAATTCATAAAACCTTTAAACATGGATTGAATTGATATTACACATACTGTGTTTATACTTTGCATATAGCACATGATGATTTGTTGATGTAATTTGTTATCCAGTCGATGTAGATTTGAGAAAATTATAAATGCTTTATTTGGGTGTCTGGATTAGTTTTTAAAAAAGTGGAGAAAATAATGATAATTGACTGAAATTGTTGATTTTATGTTCAAACATTTATTTTCAGTTAATTTTCAATCTCATATTTGAAAAATCACAAATATTTTGTCTCCTGATTTTAGGACAAGTTTGCTGACAAGAGGCCACGTCCAATGGCATGTTGTTTTCAGTTTTGTAATGATTGCCAATTGTGCGTATTTTTCCAAGTTAATTTCCACAGATTTCTGAGTAAACATCCACATGGTATGTATTTCTGAAAAATTTGAAACATGTTTGCATAATGTTGTATATGAGTTAAAGCGTTTTTTTTTTCTTCTCCCAAATGACCCTTCATTTGCTCAAATCTCTCATCCCACCTGTCACATATATCACTATGCAAATCTTCATGGTAAATATGTGTTTGTTTTTTCCAAACCTTCTCATGTTTCAAGGATGATAATTGATTACTCTGCTGTGCATGGAATAAGTGATTGTCACAAATGAGGCGTTGTAGAGAAGACTACAGCTTTTACTAATATGCAAATATGTTTCAACTTTCTGAGAAATGCATCTGTATTTCAAAGTTTCCAAACTTACGTTGAGGAGTTTATATCAAACATCTGTACAAATTCAATTCATAAAACCTTTAAAATGGGTTGAATTGATATTACATATACTGTGTTTTTACTTTGCATATAGCACATGATGTGTTTCAATGACTATATTCTTCTTGGCACATACTGCAATGAAGTCTTAATTTGAACTGGATTGACAGCAAGTTGTGTTGAGTTGCAGTGTAAAAATTATGGATAGATAGATAATGCAACTCTATAAAGTAAGAACATGGATGAAACCTTTTTAAGGTCAAAAGATTTGCTTCACTGCCTGCAATTTGTGTATAGCTTGTGATTTAATCCATTATAAGAATGAAGGTGAAATTTGTGCAGTGCTTTTTTTAGATTTCAAACATTTTTTCAAATTGTATTTTTCTTTTTCAAGTTTGATGGTTAAAAAGTTGCCAAATTGTAGCTTTTTTAGGAAAACAATTGAGATTGTTAACTGCCAGCACTGTCTCCACAGCTCTTAATAGGGCTATTGCATTGGCTTCAACTTCAAGAATGCTGAGAAGATTTCCCTGTTAAGTGAAGTGCATGTCTACCAGTTATTTTGTTATTTCACTGATGTTGAACTCGCAAAATAAATGTTCAATTGGCATTTACAACAGAGAATAAGTTGTGGATATTATCTTTTATTTAAAGTATTTTAACACTGCAGCAGCAATCTTATTTGTAATTTAGAGACGGTGCTAAACCCAAGACATACATAAGAAATAAGCACAACAAATCGCTGACAAGACAAATCCATACATTTTTTTTATCTTTATTAAATGAACGCAAAGAATAAAATATCTGAAATGATAGCCATTTCATTGCAGAGTACAAAGACGCCACAAATTTTTCACATTTGAATGTTGAAAATATAAAGACATGTTTAACATAATATTGACATTGGAAAGCACCAATTCAACACCCCGATTGTTTGACATTACAAACGCAATTCAACACCCCGATTGTTTGACACTGCCAACACATGCACCAATTCAACACCCCGATTATTTGACACTACAAACACATGCATCACTTCAACACCCCAATTGTTTGACACTGCAAACACATGCACCAATTCAACACCCCAATTGTTTGACACTGCAAACATGCACCAATTCAACCCCAATTGTTTGACATTGCAAACACATGCACCAATTCAACACCCCAATTGTTTGACATTGCAAACACATGCACCAATTCAACACCCCAATTGTTTGACATTGCAAACGCATGCACCAATTCAACACCCCAATTGTTTGACACTGCAAACACATGCACCAATTCAACACCCCGATTGTTTGACATTGCAAACACAGTGCACCAATTCAACACCCCAATTGTTTGACATTGCAAACACATGCACCAATTCAACACCCCAATTGTTTGACATTGCAAACACATGCACCAATTCAACACCCCAATTGTTTGACATTGCAAACACATGCACCAATTCAACACCCCAATTGTTTGACATTGCAAACACATGCACCAATTCAACACCCCAATTGTTTGACATTGCAAACACATGCACCAATTCAACACCCCAATTGTTTGACATTGCAAACACATGCACCAATTCAACACCCCAATTGTTTGACACTACAAACACATGCACCAATTCAACACCCCAATTGTTTGACACTACAAACACATGCACCAATTCAACACCCCAATTTCTTGACACTACAAACACAGTTCAACACCCCAATTGTTTGACACTGCAAACACATGCACCAATTCAACACCCCAATTTCTTGACACTACAAACACAATTCAACACCCTAATTGTTTGACACCACTTGGTCAAACTATTGGGGTACCTCAATTGTAGGTTCATAACGTGTTGAGTACTGGTCCAGAAATTAATGTTTAGGAGCGTATGTGTGAGTGTGTATGTGTGTGCGCGAATGTTTGTGTCTGTGTCAGTATGTGAATGTGTTGCATATACATGAGTGTTGAGCGTGCATTAACAAGTATGTGTATGTGACAATTACCTATTACAACCATTAACAGTTTGCATGCAAAACATGCTAAATCCATCTTTGCATGCAAAACATGTTAAACCCAACAAAAAAATATTTTTGAAAAATCATATAAAATACATAAAAATTGCAGGATTTTTTTAATTTCCATTTTTGTGACCTACATGCATGTCTTAATCATTTGCTTCGAGAACACAATTAATAAATCAAGATAAATGTGTTAAATTAAAAATCCCTAATTTTCTCCCATTTGGCTAAAATGGATTTAACATGTTTTGCATGCAAGCTCTTCATATACAATCAACCTTGCCTAATAAATTCAAATTTGAAAACTGAAGGAAAAGTTTTGACTTGAAAACAATTTGACGTATTGAAGGTTAAAACGGTATGCCAGTCTGACTCGGCAGGTTGACTGTATATGAAATGCTCAAATTATTAAAACAAATTACATTGCAGGGTGTATAACAAAAGAGAAGGAACAAGGCATGTTGTGTTTTTTTTGTTTTTTTTGTTGTTGCTTGTTTATATAGATTTCAACATTCTTCCTCATAAGAAATCGTTGCTTGATCACAGTTTTGCAAAAGTTCGAATATCAGCTCTTGAAAATTAGAATCAAATGTCGAGATCAAAGTTCATAGCAACCATACCATCATGAGAAGTTCAAACAATAGTATTTGTGATGAATATGAAGATGAAAGCCGATGATCACAAATAACGTACAGAAGATGGCTGACAATCACATAGAAGATGACAGTCATTCAAAGTTCGCAAGACAATAGTTGATGTTACATCCTCATCTCAACCGACGCAGGATGGTCCCTTTGTACTGACCACGTCCATCAGGATACGCTTCCATTATTGAGGCATGGACACATGCTGGCAGTTGCACCCTGATGTCCTTCCCGAGCCAGCCCCAACACCATCTCACGACTTTCCTGTAGGCCACATACCTGTATTTTCTGTAAAATAAAAAGCAATAAAAAAATTTCATTATTTTTCTTAGGATAGATGATTTGATGTCAAAATATTAATTCTTTATTAATTAATTCAGGAAAATAAAAATGATTAAA